CCCTGCCCTCGGAACCCCAACTCGCCCTGCCAAACTCCCCCGCACCCACTCTCCGCTGGCCATTATTTTGCACCTGCTTCCGCCCTGCCGTCAGAACTCGCCGAGTCCATAGCACCCTTCACCTATAACCCATGTTACAGACACGCACAGAACCCGAGAACTGAGATTTTCAGCCATGTCAATCTCATCGTCAGCAGCTTCCCCATCTGTCAAGGCGGCAGAAAAGGAGCTCGCTCAGTCTCAAGACGTGCTCGCGAGCGGCGGAAATAGCCAGCAGAATGCCATTCCCATCGCAACCTCTTCTGCGCCGCGAAACCGAAAACGCACGTGGGCCCTTGTCGGACTCGCAGCCCTGGCGGCCATCATCGTCGTGCCCGTCGTCGTCTCGCGCAAGGGCCGCCACTCCTCTCCGTCCGATTCCAATTCCAACGCAGCGGGCGCGTCCGTTGCCAAAGACGGTGCCATCGGCTTTGAGGGATCCACCGTCACCATGGAGAACGGCACGACATTCACTTACCGCAATCCCTTTGGCGGGCACTGGACCGCCGGCGAGCTGGACAACACGGCGCGTGCGCAAAACTGGACCAAGAGTCTCGCGGAGGAATGGGACTACGTGCAGGATCGCATCTATGGCGTCAATCTCGGCGGTTGGCTCGTCCTCGAGCCTTTCATCTCCCCAGAGATGTTTGAGCCGTACGTCAACCGCCAGAACATCAGCGCGACGACCGTGATCGACGAATATTCGTTGGCCAAGCAGTACCTCTCCGAGCCTGGCGGGCAAGACAACCTGCGCGCAAAGATGACCGCGCACTACGACACATTTGTCACCGAAAAGGACTTTGCGGACATTGCTGCTGCTGGCCTCGCCTGGGTTCGCCTGCCGATCCCTTTTTGGGCGTTCGAGACGTACCCGGAGCAGGACGAGCCATACCTGCAAGGCGTCGCCTGGACGTACGTCCTTAAGGCCATCCGCTGGGCGCGCAAGTACGGCATACGCCTCAATATCGACATTCACACCGCGCCCGGATCGCAGAACGGGCTGAACCACTCTGGAAAGCAGGGCAGCATCAACTGGTTGCAGGGCCCGCAGGGCCTGGTTAATGCGCAGCGCATGCTCAACTACATCCGCCAGGTGACTGAGTTCATCTCCACACCTGAGATCGCACCCGTCGTTCCCATGCTGAGCGTTCTCAACGAGCCAAAGTTGAGCTCGGCCATTGGCCAGGAGCCCGCGTTCGGCTTCTTCCAAGAGGTCTACACCATGATGCGCAATATCTCAGGCACCGGCAAGGGCAATGGACCTTACATTGTGCTACACAACGGCTTCCTTGATTCCAGCAAGTGGCAAGGATTCTTGCAGGGAAGGTGAGTTGCAGTCGCCTGCGATGAAAGGCTAAAGAAATAATGTTCATCGTCTTTGCTTTTTTCTTTCATCGTTCTTCACAGCGATCGAATGGCCCTTGACAAGCACACATACCTTGCATTCAGCCCGCAATACTTTAGCACTGACTACAATGTTGTCATCCCGGAGGCTTGCAACTACTATGCACCCAGCATCGACCAGAGTCGCGTCGACTTTGGCGTCAGCATCGCCGGCGAGTGGTCGAATGCTATCTTTGATTGTGGCTACTTTCTGCGCGGCGTCAACGTCGGCAACCTTTACGAAGGCACGTATTCTTCATACGAGAGGCCTGGCAAAGTCTATGGCAACTGCAGCGACTGGCAGAACTACCCTGCGTGGAACACGTCCACCGTTGCACTCTTCAAGGGCTTGGCGACCGCCTCAATGGACGCCAACAAAGACTGGTTCTTCTGGAACTGGAAGATTGGAAACGACCCCAACATGGGTCTTGTCGGCAGCCCGCTCTGGTCATATCGGCTCGGTTTAGAGCTCGGCATCATCCCCGCGGACCCTCGCAGCGCGCAGGGAGCCTGCGCGAGCCAGATCGCCCGCATACCTGGCGCGAGCTTGAGCGCAACCACCTCGTGGTCCAGTAGCTTCTCCGACTGGCAGACTGGCGGCGCGGCGGCGTACGCACCCAACACACAGCGATACGCCTGGCCGCCCGTGTCGCTGTCGTCGGTCAACGCGGCCGCCATGTCCGCGCTGCCGTCGCTGACGCAGACCGGCGCGACGATCAAGCTTCCCGCGCCGACGTTTGCGGCAGCCAATGCCAGCGCGTTCAATTCCGCCGGCGGCTGGGCGGCCACGGCGCACGACTTGACGCCGTTCTACGCGACGGTCAGCGGCTGCCAGTACGCGACGGACGTGTACGACCTCACGGCCGTTCCTGGTCAATGGCCGTGCGGAACCACTGTACCCACTTCGTCTGGCTTCTCAAGGCGCGCGGCGCCAGTGGCGGCGCGAGGGGCCAAGGCTACGCCTGCTGCCAAGGCATGAGCTCGAGCTTTTCCGGATAGATTCTCACACCCTTTGCTTAACGTCGTTTCCAATGTCACCAGATAGCGATATCAAGCACAGGCGCAAGGACATTTATATGCACAATTTTACTCCTGTATACGCATGCACAAGGGGATTTAGAGCATTCGAGCATTGGCGCCCCTCCATGGTTAGGCCTCCAGGTGGTACTTTCCGTCGCGAGGCGGCACCCAACGCCTTTGTGCACCCCGCGATACCAATCAAAAAGGACGAACCGGACACCGGAAACGCATGCTGCACGGCAGGCACAAATTCGCGGTCAACAGCAGTAGAGCTCTTCGTACGACCCGAATTCACCGCTCAGACCTCCATTTCAACGTGCCTCAGCGTGCAGTCGCGGCCATCGAGTGTGCATTTTCCGCATCGCCAGCGTCGTCTCGATGGCGTTGATGGAGACTGGGCACTTGGATGCTGTAAAGAGACTCTCTGAACAAACTCTCGGCTCGTTCTTTGTTTATCATCATCGACCGGAGCTTGGGTGGCAGGCTGTGGTATCGTTTCACATGATAAAGTCTTGGTCGAGGAGAGAGTTAAAATCAACCAGAATGGATGAATACCTACCGGGGAATTTGGGCGGGGCTGTGGGGTGTGGATCGGAGACTTGTGCTGAGCGCTTTAATTTAAGCCCGATTGCCCGGAGCCGACTTTGCCAAGTTTGGTCGAGTAAGTCGCCTACTCTGCTCTGGTTTGTGGGGAACTGGGGCTATCCCCGCATTATCCAAAGCGGCGGCACTGTGCAGCACTGCACCCACTCCATTCCGAATGAACGACTGCATACAGCAAGGTATCCCCCAGTTGGAGAGGTAGTGTGCATATCCAAAGATGTTGAGCTTGTGCTAGGCTTTCGCATACATAGTACCATCTACTCCATATAAGATTGGTTCTTCGCAGTATTCCGGCGAGCACAGCTCACAGGCTGCTGGAGGTAGCTACTTGCGTCCGTACGGCTCCATCGCCTGCACACTCGCAGCCTGGCAGCGGAGTACGACAAGACGGCAGCGACTCAGTTTCAAACGCTCTCATCAGCAGTTTCGATGCAAGCCGTGGAGCACTCATGCTCCAGGAGCAGAGGAAGCGGCTCCGCCATCGACCTGATCGCCTCTCCTACTTCGGGCACTGTTTGTACAGCTACATCGAGCATTCCGCCGAGCGGCGGCATCCTGAACAATGCGCACGAGGTCCCAAAGCGAAAAATTGGCGCGGATAACAAGGGGGTGGCCGCAGCGCTCAAAGGCATGTTCAAGCATTCTCACTCGGGCAAGCAGGTCAAGGTCGCACCAGGCTCTGGGCCGCTGGGAAAGACATTTGAACGGACGCAGCCACTTCCGGCCGAAAAGGTCAAGGAGATCAAGGGCCCCGAGGTGCTAGCATTCGACCCGAGAGCTCAAGATGCGAGCATCGGCAACGGCATCATCATCAGTCCCACCTTGCTGATGAAGAGCAGCGGCAGCCCAGAGCGAAACCAAGCGAATCGACCTTCACCCACAGTGGCATCCGCAGGGGCGACCGATACGAATCAGCTCAGCGAAGATGGCCCCGCTAGTCCCAACCGGCTAGGCAGCACGAGTGGCGAAGTTGAAGAATCTTTGCCTTGCAGCACTTCTCAGTCCGAATCAGAATTCAGAGATGAAGCAGCTGATCGGCCGTCTTCAACCAAGGGTGGCAATGGGTCACACACCACAACATCGGGTTATCAAGGCGGTGATTCCTACGGACGGCAGCCAAGTGCGATCTCCCAAACCTCGACTACTATCAGCAACGTCCCGGCTACTTCTATTGACAGCGGTACACGCAGAAGCGAATGGCCATCGGCGGGCGCTTCAATCCGGTTCTGCCCCTTACCCGTGTCGGGGCGGCTGAAGCGAGCCAACTCGATCACGATTGGCGTCGCAGCTCGCTCGCACCTTTTGCAATCGCAAGGATCTGCGCGACAGAACTACGCTGTCGTGCCTCCGCATCAACAGCAGCAGCATAGCTGGGTCCCTTTTGAGCAGAAGTCGCCGCATCAGACGCAGGCGTTGAGCAGCCCGCAGGGAAAGGACGACATCGTCGGCGTCGGAGAGTTGATGCAAAGGGGGGCGATGAAGGCATGGCGCAAGATGCGACGACGCAGCGCGAGTCGGGACAGCAGCACCTCGGCTTCGGCAGCGAAAAACTCTTCTGTGGCGGCGGGGACGACCATTGGAAAAGATGACACGGTGGTGGGCAAAGCTGTGGAGAACAAGGCTACCGTTGCGGCATCATCAGGGAAAGAAGGTGGTGCTGACGATGAGCATGAAGCTCAAAGCGGAGGGAAAACCCCACGGCGAACTGCATCTCCCCCGCGCCTGTTACACATGCCACCCGCAACATCGGCAGCAGAAGCGGATGGAATGCACACACCGCAAGGTGCTGTGGGTACAGAGGACGGAGCGCTAGCGCACGATGATGCCATACCGCACATCACCCGGCGACTCTCTACCGGCACCTTTCTTAAGGATGCATCGCTGCGCCAGATCCAGGAAACGCGCCGTCGCGAACTGCTCGGCGACGAGGAGGGCATGGTGCATGCTCACGGCGACAATGGCGCAATGGGCCCCGGAGGCGGCGATGCGCATGATGCCACACTCGTCCCGGAGCATGAAGAGCACAAGGAGCAGAGAGGCTGGATCTCCGGATACATCCCGCGTGAGCTGTGTGGGCTCACCCTCCCTGGTCCTGGAAAATTCGAGGATGGCTTGCGCGCGAAAGCGCCGGCCGCCGTCGCTCGCCGCGCCAACAGCGCTGACTCGGACCAGTTTGTCGATGTGCGCGAAGAAGGCTCTGGGGGCGGAGCGGAAGGGGAAGAGGGGGAGCGCGACGACGAGAAGGAGAACGACGATGGTGAAAGCGACGACGACACCAACAACGATGACGAGACGCGTGAGGCAGAGAAGTTGGCAGAACAGGCGATTCCAATCCACTCCAGCAAGGCCATGAAAACTAGCGGGATCGAAAAGATTGAGCGGAGGAAAGCATGAGCTTGCAGCGGCATTACACTGTACATTCTCTCTGCATTTATACCCACTAGCTCAGCCACTTCTTTTTGCCATCGCCACCAGTCAGCGACGACCCTCAGGCCATCAGAAACCCAAAGCTGATACGCATACATTGCCTTGGCAAAAATAATTCTGCATGCATGACGGTGCCCAACCCTGCACTTGTACATATCTACATTACCGCATTGCCGAGGCTCTTGGTGGCTCATGAGATACTACGTCGGTAAGTATCTGCACTCTTTGATCATAGCCTGGTAAGCGCTGAGTTAACGCATAGCAGGCCACTAGGCACCTTGGGCGCGCTGGAACTGCGCTGGTCCTCTGCAAGCGAAGCAAGGTCTCTCCAATTGCTGGGCACATGTACAAGGAGAGGGTTCCTTGGTGCAGCGGCAGCGAAGAGGTCGCTGAGATGGAGAAGTGATGCAGACTTCATTGCAGAAATCGGAATTGCCTGTTATTATCTGCGCCTTGATTGATTGGTGTGTGCTTGCTTATATTAGCGCGTGCACTCCAAAAATACGGGCACTGGCTCACACTTGCAACCGCCACCCACGCGCTGCCAACATGTCTTGTCCACGTCTTGCGCTTCTGTGATATCAAGACGAGCTTGGATGCTTCGTCCTCTCCTCACCCACATCTGTGACAGCGTGCACAGGAATATCCGGCCTCGCCCGAAACTGATCGCAGCCCCATTAATGACATCCACACTCCACGGTGCGCCACCTCCGCCGCTTGGCGCGCTCGCCCCGACGACCGGGACCGGGAACGGTGCCGCTGGCCGCAGTGTGCCTCCGCCAGCGATCATTTCCCGCGCCCTGCGACCAGGTATCTATGCACCCGTGCCCACCTTCTTCACTGCCAACGAGGAGCTAGATCTCGTCAGCTTCAGCAAGCACGTCGTCCGTCTTGCGCAGGCTGGCGTCTTCCCCGTCATTAGCGGCTCGACGGGCGAAGCACCGCACCTGACTCCGCCAGAACGCACGGCGCTCATCAAGGCCGCTCGTTCGGCGTTCGCTTCGAACAGGCTCGACGGCGTGCCGATCATCGCAGGTGCCAACGGCAGCTCCCTCAAGCACTCCATCGAACTCGCGTACGACGCTGCCAGCGCAGGCGCCGATGCCGTCATCGTCATCCCCTCCGGTTACTTTGCTGGCGTAACCAACACATCAGACGGCAAGGCGGCCCTGCGCGAGTTCTACATCGAGCTGGCAAACCACAGCCCCATTCCGATCTTGATATACAACTACCCTGGCGCCAGTGGCGGCATCAACATGGACAGCGACTTTTTGATCGACCTTGCCAAGAGCGCGCCCAATACTTGCGGCCTCAAGCTGACCTGCAACGAGATTGGCAAGCTGCTCCGCATTTGCTCCGTCACTGCCGTGCCGGAATTCGCGACGTCGTACCCGCGGAAATTCCCGTACATTCCTTTCCTCGTCTTCACTGGATACTCTGACACACTCGTGAGTCGCTGCTTACGCACACCGTCCATACACAGAGGCATTGACCTTTGATGAATGAATGTTCTTCACGGGTAGTACCCCGCGCTGATCGCCCGCGGTGCAGGGGCGATCACAGGTCTCGCAAACTTGGTCCCGCACACGGTACGGCGCCTCTTCGACATTGCCGTCACCTCAATCAACGCCGGCTCCACAAATCACATGATTGAGGCCCAAGCGCTACAATCGACCGTCGCGCAAGCAGACTTCAACCTCTCCACCCACGGCATCGCAGGCATCAAATGGGCCCTCTCGCGCTACGGTGCCGATTTGGGGTACGACTATACTGGCGGGCTCCCGCGTAAGCCGCTGCCGCCCTTGTCGGCCGGCGTCGACTTGCAGCTAGAACGACAACTGCACGAGATCATCGTGCGCGAGAAGGCACTCTTGCGCGAGCGCGAGCAAATTGGTGCCACTGCTGGCGTCGGCGCGTCAGCCGGTCCTAACCGCTCAACTACCTCTCTTCGCTAAACAGCACAAGCCCCAATGTAGGTGAGCCGGTCGGTGATATGCAACATTGTTTCCCTTTACATTCTTATAATTGAAACAGCAAAAGCAACAGCGATAACAATGCGAGCGGGCGGGCGGTGTGCAATACAATTTGAATTAAATTATCTGATGAACCCATGTGTTGAAGGTTGACGCGTGCGGATTGATGCAAGACCCCGGAAGAGGCGACTTGCACGAACTGCAAGAAAGAAGGTATTGCGGGCGTCCAAGTATCGGGTCCAAGTTGTGGTGCTTTTGATGATGTATCCAGATTCCAGCTTGACGCTTTCCCTTGAATAAGACTGAGCACTCTGCAAAGGCTACATCTTGCCAAAAGTCTCCAAGTCGTACAAGAAGTCTCCCGTCTCCTTGTCTTCTTCCGTAAACCACGTGCGGCAGACGAGATCAAAGCCCTCCGCATTACACGACCAAAACGGATCCGCTGTGTCCCAGTTAATCTGCGGCAGCATCAGGTTGGTGAGCGATGCTGGCGGCGTCGGGGAAGGCGGAGGCAGAGGCATAGGCGGGTCAAAGAATGGGATGGGCAACTGCGAAGGCAAGCAGCCGCCGCTGCTGGGCCTGGAGCGGGTGCTGTTGATCGACAGGCGCGAGCCAGGCTGATGCAGCAGCCGCTGCTCACACCCATACCCGCCTGCACCAAATTCGCCGTCATCCTCAACGCTTCCATTGAAGCTGCCGACTTGTCCGGAAGGGGACTGCGAGTAGATTCCATCTTCTGACTGACGATGGCCGTTGAGCAAGGCTCGCGATCTGCCCAATGACCTTCTCAAGGATCGATTCGAGTGGGCGCCCGGCCCGTCATGGTGACTGCACTTGTCGATGCGGTGGCACTTCATCAGATCCCCACCGTCGTTGTCGTCCTCGACAAGTGCGGAAGCAAGCGCCAGCGCGCTGCGAGAGTGCAGCGTTGTCGCTGCCAATTGACGCTGGTTATGCCGCACAGGAGGCTGTAGCGGCTTCAGCTCCACATCGATGACGCCCTCGGCGTTCTGTGAGATGAACCCTTCCGTGGCTTGCGCTGCATTGATCATCACGTCATCGCTGGCCATGTCGCGGTTCTTTTCAACAGGCGACCAGGGCATATGCAGAGAAGGACTGGCGCCGCTGATCGCCTGTGGCGAGTCATACACATTCTCGTCCCGCGCGGAACTCGAGCTGCGGCTGCTCGGGCCGATCACAGTAACTTCCCCTCCTCCTCCTTCACTACCGCTTTGCGCGTACGCATGCGCATGCGATCCAGATGTGGGTAAAGACGCGGGCATCGCATCGCCAGATGTTGCCCCAGCCGCAGAGGGCGGGCGGCTGCTGCGCTCCGGAATGGGAGGCACGGCTGACGGCATGGACGAGCCGGCGGTAGAACCTTTGCCGGGGAGGTAGGCGTGGCCATTGTCGGCGCTGCCTGCACCTGTAGCTGCACTTCCACCTGTGCCTGCGTTTGCAGCTGCAGCTGCGGCTTGGCTGCTCTGCGGATTTTCAGGGCTTGTCTTGGTTGTGGAGAGTGACGCGATCGAGATGGTACCCCATGTGGAGTCGTGCCACTTTGGGCTGGATGTGTCGCGGCCGTCGCCGTCAGAGTCGTCCGTCGTCCCACTCGACGCCTGCTGCGTCGATATCGGTGATAGGCACAGCTCAAAGCGTTGCAACTGCTGATGTGCGTTTGGAAGTGCATATACGTCCAGAGGGGGAAGAGGATACTGCTGCTGTGCGGTGCCTGATGCTGCTGCTCCTACTTCTGAGCCCGTCTGGCACGCCACGTCATAGTCCTGCATCTCGTCCAAGCGTATCGCCTCGTCGATGTTCTCATACGTAGGCGGCAGCGGCGGCATGGCGGTTACATTCGCGTCGTAGAGTATCTGCCCACCACTGCTATTGGCAAAGATTCCGCCGCTACTGCCGCCTGCAGAACGGAAAGCCGAGACGGAACGCATGATGGAGCTGCTCCGCGAGCGCGTCGAGCTGTCGTCACTGCCGTACATAACGAAAGGAATCGACGGGGTCCCACCAGTAGCAGGAGCGGAGCCGGCGCCAGCGCCCTGCGATAGACGTTTTCCAAATGAGCGGTGCAGCGAGGGGTAGCGGATGGACCAGCCGACCTTGAACCTTTTCGACTTTGTTGACGATGGCGTCATCGGCCGCGCCTGTGCGTCCTTGGATGTCGTAGGCTGCGACGCGAAGCCGTCTGCGCCGTACCTCGGCGCGCGGCCAATGCCGACGCCTTCGCTGGCAGACGGCATACACACGACGCGGATGGGCCCCACATCCTCTGCGGCGCGATGTCGCGCGTCTGCGTCGCCTTTCTCCTGGCGCTGCTGGATGGACGGGCTGGTGCCGTAGATAGCGGTGGTGTGGTACTGGCGCCGCGCTCGATTCGCCATCTCGTGCTCGATGCGTGTCATCCAGGCCTCGGCAAAGCGCTGGTGGCCCTTGACGTTGAATGTACCTTCGCACATGCCTCGCACTATGCCTTGCGGGTCAATGGCAAATGTGCAGCGGCCTGCGGGAGCGGTCGTGTGAGAAGACGGCTTGCATCTGCGATATTATGCGCGGCCCATCGCGAGACTCACGATTTATCAGCCCAAAGAAGACCGTGCCGACGCCCCACTCGGTCTGCACCTTTCTATCCACATCGTGAAGGATTCTGAAGGCCAGCTGGTGCTCGTCTACAAACTTCTTTGCGCGCTCCCTGCCATCCTGGCTGTGTGCGAGGACGGAGCAGAAAAGGCAAGAGGGGGTAAGGTAGGAAGGAGATAGCGTCAGCTCAAGGCTCTGCATGAACACTTTGGTTCAGTTCACCTGCCAGCCTTCATGCGCAACGCACCTTATGCCAATGACGATGGCATTCAAATAGTTGAATACGGGAGATTGGCTGATGGCGTCGCGGAATGAGCAAGTCTGTTGCTTGCAATGCGGCGAACCAGAGAGAGGCAAAAAGCTGGTCACACAAGAGTTTGTTAGGGGGGGGAGAGGCAAATGAGGGTGCATACGAACACAGCGTGGTCAGCTCGATCGTCGGTGACTTGATGGCTCCCAAGGCTCGGCAAGCAGAGGAAACGCAAAGCGAAGAGCCACTCACACGAGTACGATCAGCCGCCCGAGCTGGATGGTGGCATGCAAAGAGCATCTCCTCCCCAGGTGGTCGTCGAGCTCAATCTCGGGGGCATACTGTCCAATGAGCGGGCACCTCTTTCAGTCATTGACGGCGAATTTGATGTGGCTGTCGACAACAGCGAATGAATTGTTTTCGTCGGTGTCCGGGTAGTAGCCCGCCTTTGACAGAGTAGGCATCTTGTGCGAGGCAGGAGCGGTCGATCCACACAACACTAAAGTATATGTGCGACCGGGGACGTATTCCAGTACCAAAGACGGGCGTGGGCTGCTACGGTAGAGGCAAGCGAAGGAGGCAGTGGTTGGCTTGTTGGGCCGTGTGCAACGCGGTACAAGGCGAGACGCCCGATGTCTATCCTACTGATGCCAGATGGCACGGGTGGTGTTACGGATAATGGGGGTGGTCGGGTGGATGAAAGGAAGAGCCGCAGACCCAAATGAAGAGGCAGAAGGAATCCGGAGTTGCGGTCGTGGTCTCCGCTCCCTATGCCCAGCATGTCCATCGCGCACCCGTTATCGACATCCAGCCAGACACGGAGCAAGGGTCAGGATCAGGATCCTGATCATGATGGGTGGAGTGGCAGGAAGGCGCTTGGACCCTGCTGCGACAGTGACTTGAAGATCCTTTGCCCACATTACATAGCAAATCGCATTGCGGGCAAGTGTGCAAAGGCCGCCGCCCCACAATCAGTCGGGTGGGTTATCTGAGCTACATTGTGCGCGTGATTGCCACCCCGCATGTCTTTGTCACTGGGTCCAGCTGGGCAGCGTGCGCATCGCAATAGACGAGTGACTGCGCCAGTCTCCGCCCGCCCTCTGTCTCACCGCTGTCCTGCGGGCCTGACGGTCAGAGGGCGTGGGGTGGGCGTGGGCGTGGGGGACAGCAGCAGTGGGCAAACGGGCTGAGCTACGATGAGAATCCAGAATACTAGGTTGGATGCGAGAGACATGGCGGATGCGCAGTGCGCTTGACATCATTTGTCGCTTTCTCTTTCTGACTCACTCGTACATGATAATCAAAAAGGTGACACATCGCAAGTCGGCACTCTGGGCACCAGCTGTGAACTGACGCAGAGAGCCTGACGCGACCGCAGCGAAAGAGATTAAGTGAATGTAACAACATCGAAAGCTGCAACCGTGTTCCCAAAACATAGCAACTTTGTTAGTTGGATTGAGTCGCGTTGACAAATAAATTGCAATAACTTCAAGTTCGTGCTGGCGAGTGGGGAGGCCGAGGGAAACCCTTGTTGTAGACTGGCGCCTGTTACGGCGCTCCCTTTGGCGCTCTGACTGCGAGAGTCTGTGAGATCTCTTGAGCTTTTGTCGCAAACTCGATCCCTTCGTCACAGCCCGTCCGAGCTCCAGCTTGCGGGCTGCGGTGGTGAGGCCGCTTTCAATGAAACATGCGGGAGGAGCGAGTGGCAGGCCGACAAGGCAGCAGGCGCCTGGTAAAGACGTGGTAATAATGTACATGCGCTGTGAGACGCCGCAATCGTAGGAGACTTTGTCGGATGGTTCGAATTAACAAAAGATCTCACTTGAATCTGCCCAATACCCAAAAGGGAAATTGGGATGAACACATGGTGAACGATGCGATGAACAATTAACTGCCGCACTGTCAGAGAGATACTTCTTGCAGCCAAGCGAATGCTTCCTCCGACCGGGTTGGCGTTGAGCCGGTATTGCAATGCGAGCAGGCGGGTGGCATCATTCTTGAGCTTTGCCACGACGCGATGGGGCCTTGGATTGCCGCTCCTCAGGAGGAGTCGCGCAAGAAGCGCATGACTGAAGTGCAACACAGCCTGAAAGGTGCCCTAGTCGAGAAAGCGTTCGAGCAACGATGCAGCGATCAATTGATATCACGGATGGTTTTGAGAACGGTGAACCTCAAAGATGATGCGAAATTGAACGATTCCAATTCTTAGATTTGAGTGAAGGGCGAGGAGAAGCAACTCGCAGTGACGAGCGAGGACAACAGCTTCTGCTTTCCTCTAAACCCTCACCCTGTGTCTTATTTTCTTCTGCAGGACTGGGCAGCCATGGTAAGCAATGCGCAAGCTGTTGCAATACGCAGCTACAAAATGAGGGAATGGTCAGATAATTAACGGCGTAACCCCATTCGCATCCGATGCAAGCGTTTCGACGGCAGCCGATGCATAGAATGCCGCCTTGCCTGAAGCATGAAAGGGTCAAGTTCTTGTCGGCGAGGCACGCATACCAGCCACGCATGTTGCACTGGATCTTGGGGTAGCTTGTTACGTTGCGCAGTGCAGCAGAAGAAAATGTAGAGAAATGGAAACACCTTGGGATGATGCCACCCGCCCATTACCCCTTAAGGAGAGCAGTCAAGCTGGTGAGTATGTCTGAAGTCTGCAATCTGCACCTGTCTGAAGGCGAAGGAGCTGTGTAGAAGAGTCGGCGAAAGCCTGGACAGGGCAGTGCAGATAGGTTTGTTTGCGACTTTTCAATGCAAGAGCCATTCGCTGTAGCGCAATGGATCCGCTCGAGAGCAGAGGAGGCGCGCTTGGTGCGTCCTAGGAGGATACTGCAAAAAAAAGTGCAAAGCCGTAGAACCAACACCATTTGCATCACAATTGCGTTTCTCTATTGGACCCACCGTATTGAATCATCTTCGCGGATGGAGACGATGGGGATTGATGTTGTGGGTCTGGTAGTAGTGCAGCCATGTATGTATGGTGCATGAGTAGTACGTTGAACGTTGCTGCTGACTGCTGGAGTGTCCGAACCGGGGAAGGGGGGGTGGAAGAGTGCCTGTGAGCCTTGTGGGCAGCAAATGAATTAGAAGCTCTTTTGATCACGGTTGCCAAGACAATATTCCGCCCCTAGCTAGGCTCGCTTGGCCGCTTTGTGTGGAAAGGCGAGAAAGAGGCACTCGGGGGCAGACCCGCCGTCACAAGAGACTAGCATACTGCCGTCACAACCTGGGCTCACGGGAGAGTGGGTGGGATGGTCTTGATGCCGAATCAGATGATGCTTTAAAGGCCCGTCATCAGCTTGCAAGCACACAATCTGCTTCGCTCTTCCGTTTCTTCCCAGGCTCATGTCAAAAGTGCTGAGCGCTAGGGAGCGCTGGTTGATGCTCTCTCGGCGGCGCGGTGCCAAGTTGCGCTTACAGTCCGGCTCCTGTCAGCACTCGACAGGGAGAGCAAGCAGCGCCACACACCTCGGCGCCGGTGCCGCAGCGACAGCTCGAGCTCGCAATCTCTCCCTCTGTGCAACTTTGGAGATCTCTACGAGTGATCCTCGGTTCCCATGAGCCTCATTGAGCCAGCTTCATCTGCGTTGAAGACTGTGCAGCACCAAACATCCTCTCAGCTGCGAGCCGTTACCGAGGCACGTCGTCGTTCTAGAAGAAGCTCCCGCCTCTCGCTCGCGCAAACGACGACGACGCGCGAGCATCGTCCTGGTCCTTCTTGATTACCATCTCCTTCTCACTGAAACATCACGCGCTGCCCATCAAGATGGCAGCCTACAGTAATGACGCAGGATACATCGCGCAAGGTCCGCGCTACCAGTTTGCCGACGAACGCGGTCTTGAAGGGCAGGATGCATGTGCGCATCGCCAACGGACAACGTATGACGTCGAACAAGCATGCAGCTACTACAGCCAGCCGCAGGACTCCTTCCTCTCTGATCCTTCGCATCCTCAGTATGCTCCTGCGCTGGATCCACAGCGCCAGCTGCGCAGTGTTAGAACAGCAGCCGAATCGATTGCAGAGTCACATCGCTCCGAGGCAAGGCGAGATGCCAGGCGCAAAAAGATGTCCAGGCACAAGAAGGGAGAAAGCATCATCGCGAGGCTTGGGCGAGGTATGAGTCTGCGGCGAGGTATGAGCACAAAGAAGGGTTCCTCTCACGTAGCAGCAGGTGAGAAATCAGCAATTTCCAACCTCATCGCTGACGAATTTGGAAGAGACAAGATGCCGGTCGGAGCGTACGGGACGGGTGGAGATGCGATCGACGTACAATATGATTCAACACCGCAGCATCACATGCCGAATATTCCCACGGCCGACGCACGCGAGGCAGCAGAAGAAGAGGCGCAAGCAGAGGCGGAAGACGTGAGCGCCGGCTTTAGCGGCGGTGCAGGGGTCGCCGACCTCAAGGGCAAGAAGAAGAAGCCGTCCGAGAGGCGGCAAGTGTTTATGAACGCGCCGCTACCGCGATCTGAGCTTAAGAAGAGCGGTGACCCGAAGCGCACCTATCCTCGCAATAAGGTCCGGACGTCCAAGTACACGATACTCACTTTCCTGCCGCGGTTCCTGTTCGAACAATTCAGACGCATCGCCAACGTATACTTCCTGCTGCTCATTATTCTTCAAGTGCGGCAAGAATTTACCGCTGGTGCCACAGTGCCACAGATCGCCATGCTCCCGCTTGTGGCTATCTTGACCATCACGGCCATCAAGGACAGCATCGAGGACTATAGGCGGCACGTCCTCGACAACCAGGTCAACAACTCTGCCGCCACGCGCCTCGGCATGTGGCGCAACGTCAACCAGCCCAAGGACCCTCGTAGCCTCTTGCAAAAGATGATTGGCCTCAAAGGCGGCCGCTCGCCAAACAAGGCCTCGCGTGGCGTCAAGAAGCTCCGAGAGAAGGAGGATGCAATCGGTATGCGCTCTGTCACATCCGGTCGCTCGCAAGCAGCTCACCATCAGCAGCAAGCACGGGGCCAAACGCAGGTCAGGCCCTCGACCGGACGGTCCCGTACCGACTCGTTGACCAGCGGAGGCTTTGCACTCGAAGCCATGACCAGCGAGAGCGAACGCCCCGAGTCCGAATGGCATTCCACCGCCTTCAGTATGGGGCGCTCGGGTAGCACGCGCAATTTGCTCGCACCAGTTTCGTCGTACACCAACTCGAACGCGCCGAGCCTTACACACGTTCCGAGTAACGGAGACAAGTCTTTCGCCCCTAGCGTGTCGCAGGGTGTCGTGGATTACTCGAGGCACGTGCCGGGGACCGCGCGCTGGGAGCGGACACTGTGGAAGAAGCTGGAGGTTGGAGATATAGTCCTTTTGCGCGAAGATGACCAGGTGCCTGCGGACATCGTTGTCCTCAGCACCTCGGACGCAGATGGCAATGCATACATCGAGACCAAGAACCTTGACGGTGAAACCAACCTCAAAGTCCGTAAGGCACTCAAAGCGACCTCCGCCATCTTATCTGAGGAAGATGCCGAGCACGCACGGTTTGTCATCGACAGCGAGCCGCCGCACGCCAACCTGTACGCATACAATGGCTTGCTCAAATACAGCGTTCGCGACAGCTCGGATCCGTACGACTACGATAAAGAAGCGCCGCCGGACAGCAGCGCGGCCGCTGCGCAGAGCAAGCAGACCAGCAAGGTCGAGCCCGTCACGATCAACGAGCTCCTCTTGCGTGGCTGCTTTCTCCGGAACACCGAGTGGATCATTGGAATAGTCCTCTTTACGGGCGAAGACACAAAGATCATGCTCAACGGCGGTGACACACCTTCAAAGCGAAGCAAGATTGAAAAGGAGACCAACTTTAACGTTCTGATGAACTTTGTGCTGCTCTTTGGCATGTGCCTTGCCTGCGCTATCGTCGGAGGGTTCAACCTCAATCGCACCGACACTTCCAGGTACTACTACGAGCAGAACTCGCTCTACTCCAGCTCCACTGTCGTCAATGGCATCATAATCTTCTTGTGAGTTGAGCTGAAAGCGTGCGGCGAGAATTCCTGTCTTCTGACGTGCTGCTCTGTACACACACAGCTCGTGCATGGTGGTGTTCCAGAACATCGTGCCCATCTCGCTGTACATCTCGATCGAGATTGTCAAGACAATACAAGCATTCTTCATCTACCAGGACGTCGACATGTACTACGAACCGCTCGACTATCCTTGCGTGCCAAAGACATGGAACATCTCCGACGACCTTGGACAGATCGAGTACATCTTCAGTGACAAAACCGGCACGCTTACGCAGAACGTCATGGAGTTCAAAAAGTGCTCGATCAATGGCGTTGCATACGGCGAGGGCATTACCGAGGCTATGATCGGTGCGATGCGCCGCGAAGGCAAGGACACGTCTGGTATGGATGCGGACACGCAAGAGCGTCAGCTCGAGCAGTCGAAGGCGGCCATGATTAATACGATAACGCGCGCGTTCAAAAACCGCTACCTGCGCGAAGACAAGATGACGCTCATCTCTCCACCACTTGCGCAGGACATCTGCACGAGCACACCAGAAGGCGCCGGGCAGCGCAAGAACATCATCGCCTTCTTCCGAGCACTCGCGCTTTGCCACACCGCACTGGCCGACCGGCAAGACGCGAACGACCCATTCACAGTGGACTACAAGGCCCAAAGCCCGGACGAGTCAGCGCTGGTCGCTGCTGCCCGTGATGTTGGTGCTGTGTTTTTGAACAAGAACAACCAGACGATCGACATCGAAGTCATGGGCCACCCCGAACGCTTCATCCCGCTCAAAGTGCTAGAGTTCAACTCGACGCGCAAGCGCATGAGTGTTATTGTTAGGGAGCCAGAGGGACGCATTCTCCTAATCACCAAAGGAGCAGACTCGGTTATCTTCGAGCGCCTGCGCGCAGATCACCCTGCGGAGCTCAAGCAGAAGACCCATCAGGATCTGGAAGACTTTGCAAATGCGGGTCTTCGGACGCTCTGCATCTCATACCGGTACCTTGATGAGGGCGAGTACCTGGAATGGAGCAAGATCCACGACGAGGCCGCCGCTGCGCTGCAAGACCGTGACGAGCTTGTCGATGAGGCAGCCGAGAAGATCGAGGTCAACCTGACGCTCATCGGTGCCACAGCCCTTGAAGACAAGCTGCAGGTCGGTGTGCCTGAGGCAATCGAGAAGCTGCACAGAGCCGGCATCAAGCTCTGGATTCTGACGGGCGACAAGCTGCAGACGGCAATCGAGATCGGCTTTAGCTGCAACCTTCTTACGTCCGAAATGGAGATCATGATCATTTCCTCAGATCATGCCGAAGGCACACGTGCCCAGATCGAGGCCGCTTGCCACAAGATCGCATCAGCAGGCCGACCAGTCATTATCAACGGAAAGGAGTGTCGCACCTTCCTGCGTGCTCCGGACTCTCAGATCTCTGCTATGGGCAAAGGGGGGTTTGCGGTCGTTATTGACGGCGAGACGCTCAAGTGGGCTCTATCTTCAGACCTCAAGGCGCTTTTCCTCGGCCTCACTACGCAATGCGAGGCCGTTGTCTGCTGCCGTGTCAGTCCGGCACAGAAGGCGCTCACGGTCAAGCTCGTCAAGGACGGCATGAATGCAATGACGCTTGCCATCGGAGACGGTGCGAACGATGTCGCCATGATTCAAGAGGCTCACTGCGGTGTCGGCATTGCTGGCCTGGAAGGAGCGCAGGCATCAATGTCCGCAGATTATGCCATTGGGCAGTTTCGCTTCCTGACCAAGCTGCTCCTTGTGCACGGTCATTGGAGCGTTGTCAGAATCGCTCGTATGCATGTGGTCTTTTTCATGAAGAACCTGGTCTGGACCGGCACGCTTTTCTGGTTCCAGATCCACAATCAATTTGATGCGACTTGTGAGTTCAACTTTGCCTTCAAGTTATGATCTGCATTAACATTGCCCTCGGCGCTCGCCCGCCATTCGCAGATTTATACGACTATTCTTGTAAGTGATGATTAGCTCTGCTCTCCTTGGACGCCATCTGACGTGTTCCACTCCTTGCCTCACAGACATGTGAGTTTTTCGATCAGCCTCAAGGTAGCGCTCCGGCGGAGGCAACTGACATTCTCTCCATCTGTTCTTCACCCCTTCTAGCCTGCTATTCAACCTTGTATTCACGTCGCTTCCGGTGATTATTCTGGGAGCACTCGACCAAGATGTGAACGCGAAGGCATTACTCGCCGTACCCGAGACATACCGCAAGGGCATCACTGGCGAATACTACACGCGCAGCATCTTCTTCTTGGCAGTCATCGACGCGATCTATCAATCCGCAGTCTGCTACTTTATTCCCTGGATCATGTGGTCGCTGTTCCCCGGCACATCCTGGAATGGCCTGGACATGACGACGCTCCTGCTCTTCGGAACGACTGTTGGCGCTGCAGCTGTCTTCTGTTGCAACTTGGTCGCAGCTCTTTCACAGAGCTATTGGTGAGTTACTCAATTGATGTGCAGAGGTGGCGGCGACTGATAACATACATTGTGCAGGACGGTCATCTTCTGGATTATTACCGGTCTATCCATGGTCTCCTACCTCATTTGGGCGGCAATCTACTCGGCGCTGCCTTTTAGCTTCCGCAACATTGCGTTCGAGCTCTTCTCAACGCTTCTATTCTGGCTGACGATCTTACTTGTCGTCGTCGTTGCCATGCTTCCTCGCTACGTTTGCCAGGCTTGGCAATCGTGCTTCGCTCCGTCAGACTGCGATGTGGTGAGGGAAGCTTGGATTGCCGGCGATCTGAAGGACCGTCTTGGCGTTCCCCGCACCAAGTCACGTCCTCCGAATACCAAGACGCTCAAAAACATGGAAGAATACAATCCGACGGACGTTCATGCCCTTCCGCAGCGGCGAAGCAGAGAAAGCTCGGCCAACAATTCGGCAGATCCGCTTACGACAGATCCTGATGCCAAACAAGGCCCCTTTGCGGATCAGGCTTCCCAACATCGGGAGCCTCAATGGCACGTGGAGCAGCCTCAGGGCCAGGGCAAACAGAACCGGCTGAGCTTGCAGCCGCTCCAGATGCAGCGGTCAGGCACGGCGTTCAGTTTTTACGACCCAGAGCTGCTTTCGAGCATGTCACCACAATCACCGGAGCGGCATCAAGGCTGGACTCAGCAGCAAGGCAAAGGCCCCTTCGTCCCACAGATCAACGTGCAAAGGGGATCCGCTTCCAATTCCTTCACCTCCAAGGATCCACACGCCAAGCAGGATGTGTACAGCCCGTATGGGGTATACGCAGGTGGTGCTAGCAGCCACACTGCCCTAAATCAGTCGACAGACTCTTTTGAGCAACATTTCGAACAAGCCTTTGGCGCTCAACAACAGCGTCAATGGCAGGAGCCAACGCGTGGGCAACCGGTGGCCGCTATCTACAACCCTGCTTCGCGTTTCCATGATCGCTTCCGCAACGGCCCCAGCTCGCCTCAGGCGTCGCCGCTCCGGCTACAAGACGACGCTTTCGAGCAGCTGACACCAACGCAAGCGCACCCATCTCTGCATCCGCGCGACCAATCTGGAATGACCAACCAGAGCTATCACACTGCGGACGGAGATGGTGACTATCGGTAAAGCACACACATGGACTCTATAGGTCGCACGTACTGTACATTACACTTTCCGAATATGCCGTTGCTATAGAACTTTAGCACGTTATACACGAGCTTTTGATCACATCAGGTTAGCTGGGAGGCGTGCTGGATCCACCTCAGAGGGCGTCGCGTGCTCTTCGGTGCCAGCTTCATCCAGCCATGCTTGGTTTCTTGGGTGATGAGCCCAGGTGTGATATACCCCTGACGTATGTTCAACAACTACCCGTGTAAAATATGCGGAGATGAAGCAAAGTTGATGACTTCCGTTTTCTTTTCTCGGCCGAGTGACTCTCCCTTTCACTTTTTGCAGCAGGTGTCTCATCTCTCCCTCGTCCCAACCTCGTCATGCCTCCTATGGCGCAGGGCACACGTAGAAGGCAAACCTCGCTCCTGGCTTTGACGTTCGTTGACTTCCCGAGGCTTAGAATATCCTTTGGCGGTGGGTCGAAGTCGCTCTTGCATTTTTTGAAGCTTGCGGTAGCAATATCTGATCCTGAAGCAAGATGCCGGGCGCGATTCGATTGTTGACGGGAAGCTCGCATCCCGAGCTCGCCAACCTCGTTGCAAAACGACTGGGGGTACCGGTGACAAACTGCAGCTGCAGTCGTTTTGCGGACCAGTCGATCAATGTCCAGGTCGCGGACAGCATCCGAGACGATGACACCTACATCGTGCAAACGGGCTACAGTACCAGTATGGACCCCAATGATGCTTTGATGGAGCTCTTGATCATCATCTCCGCGTGCAAGACTGCCTCGGCTCGACGGATCACTGCAGTCATTCCAGCTTTTCCATACAGTCGTCATGACAAGAAGGACAAGTCGAGAGCGCCTATCACGGCCAAGCTGGTCGCCAACATGATCACAATAGCAGGCGCAGACCACGTTATTACGCTGGACCTACACGCCAGCCAGATTCAGGGATTCTTTGATATTCCGGTGGACAATTTGACCAGCGAGCCAAGTGTCGCTAGGTGGATCAGAAGCAACGTTCACAACTGGCGAGACTCGATCATCGTCAGTCCAGACGCCGGAGGTGCTAAAAGGTAAGCCGTAGCTAGTATAAACATTAGAGTTGTCAGAGGTCTGACACTATGCGAACTCTCGCCGCCTCAAGAGCGACAGCGCTTGCGGACGCGCTCGGCGTGGACTTCGCACTCATCAACCGAAATCGCAAACGGGAAGCAAACCGACGAGCGCGCGCTGCCAGACTTGCGAAGCACCCAGGAGCATTGAGCACACGATCCAGCTTCAGTGACCTGCGTAGCCACCCGCAAACTCCACTCTCTGGCAGCATCGTCGTCGACCCTCAGATGGCACCGCAGCAGCCAGGCCGTGGTGAGCCCTCTTCCGGCGTTAACAGTAATCAGCAGATCCCACTTCCTTCAGCTATGAACGACTCACTACAAGCACTTAGTATGGGCGATGGCAATAGCAGTGGAGCGTCGCCTCCAGCCGTGGTCAAGAAACAGCAATTCTTCGATGTTGCCAATGGCGTCCAGGCGAATGAGAATGGCGAGTGGGTTATGACCGATGCTGAAGGTTACCGCGTCACCTCGGGAAGCAAGAGCCGTCCGTTAGACAGTGCAACCAACGATAACGCCGAAAGCGGCGTGAGCGAGACAGAAGATGAGAGAGAAACCAAGATGGAGATTTTGGTCGGAGACGTAGCTGGCAGGATTGCGATTCTCATCGACGACATGATCGACACCGGCAAGACTCTTGCGCTTGCCGTCAAAACCCTAAAGGATGCCGGCGCCAGCGAAGTGTATGCTATCGTTGCTCATGGCTTGCTCAGTGGGAAAGCGACAGACCTGATCAAGCGCCTCGATGTGGAAAAGCTAGTGGTGAGTGACGGTCCACGCGATGCATATGACTTGCACCTCCTTTCGTTTGCAGATCCGCTGGCTCACTGTTCTTCGCTTACTACGCACGCAGGTCACTAACACCATTCCAAACAGCGAGAAAATCGCCGCCACGGAAAACAAGCTGGAGATCATGGACGTCAGCGCGGTGCTCGCGGAGAGCATCCGGCGATCGCACAACGGCGAGAGCATCAGCCTCCTCTTCCGTGAAGATGCTGCGGCATTGTACTAGGCTGCCGCCGGTCGCACCGCTTGGTGAACCTTGCCATCAACGCAAATCTTCTCATTCCATCGCAATGAAGTGTATTGTAGGAGGCATGAACACTGAATGGTACAATCTGTCTTTGGGGTCTCAGCCAACAACACCGACCCGGTCAATGTCGGGCGCGTATTGCGAAAGGTACGTGCCGCCACTGATCGAGATAGTGTTTTCCTTACCGGGCTGGAAGCCGCTGAGTTCAACGAGGAAACTCTTCCACACGTCTTTGTCCCAGTTGTATCCGCTGAGCGGGAAGTAGACCTGCTGAGACAGGCCATTGTTGACACTTACGCTCGCGCCACGAGCATTGGTGACGTTGACGAAACTACGAATTCAATGGAAGCGTACGTCAGGTACGTGTTCCAACATGACCAAGCGGCCCCACTTTGAGCTCACCTGTATTGAACATCAGCATTTATATAGTCGAACCTGACGTTGGATTTCATTTGCGATGTCTGGATGTTTTTGAATGTGAGCGTGCCGATATTGCCAACCTTCTTGCTTCCCGAGCAGCCAGACCAGCTGGCGACGGCCGCACCGTTACTGAGAACTGCATTTTCAGCCTCGTAGTAGTTGTACGTAGGGTTACTCGGCGTAGAAACCTTGATGTTGGAGATACGAAGGGCAATATTTCCGTGAGCATTGATGATCGCCGACCAGGAACTAGCCCCGGTGCGCGTAGCACCGCTCCAGAGATCATTGACATCGGCTGAAGTGATGTTGAGTTGCTGGAAAATGATGGACTTGGTGCCGGTGTTGCCTCCTTGCTTGTCGAGCAAGACAACGACATCGCCGTTCGCCAAAGGTCCAGAGTACAGATCATAGTCATTGCTCCAGCGTTGGACGAGCGTGATCGGCCTGCCAAGGCTGTCCTGGTTGATCGCGATTAGATCTTTGTTGAGAAGAATGCTCGGTCTGGCTGGAAGGCGAAACGACATCGGTCGAGATCATCAGAGCTGACTTCATGGCTGCCCATAAGGCGAAGTGTGTCTTCTGCTCGTCAAAGGTGAGGGCCTTGTTACCGACTTCGAGCAGGTCACCGTCAGCAAAGTGTCCTGGATCATGAAGGCCTCGCAGGTTGATGTTCATGGCTTGGTTCGAGATACGGACGACAGAAATCCAGTCATTAGTAATGTCGTCACTGAGCCTGAAGCGAGTGGCGAGTGGTGGTGTCCATTGAGCGGGACCCTGTAGGCCCGTCGGGCTTGCATACGGAATGCCCCATGCGCACACGAGCATACCATTGATACCATTGTTTTGCAGGGCTGTCGACATGTTCCCATACCGAGAGGGGAAGTCAGTCCGAGGGTCCTTGGGGGCGTTGTTGACACCATCGACGTAACAGTTGTCGACTTTGGTCTTGCGTCGCCGTTGAAATTCATGATCAGTTCACCGTGCACATTTCCACGCCAGCAATGTACAACTCACGTATACGTGCCCAAGGACGCGAATAACTTTGCATCTATCTCTTCGTAACCGAGCGAGCCGAATGGGGGAGGGTTGCGAGTGTCGCAGGATTTGAGGCCTGCATCAGTGTACCTGATTTGATTGGACCGACGTTGCATATGTCAGTATCCATGCAGAGTTTTGTTACTGTTGAAGCGTGCGCGGAAAACATATATTGACTACAGCAGACCATTGCTGCGTGCAGAGTTGGCGAGAGCAGACAGACCATTCGGAAAAGCCTTGTGATTGACGGCAGGTTGGCCGTTAGCGGACCTGTTCGTACCTTGCCACCCGCAGTCGATTTGAAAGTACTTGTATCCAGCTGCGACGAATCCATTCGATTTGAGCGCGTTGATGGCGTTCTGGATGCCGTTTTCATTCGGCGAGCAGGAAGATTGATTGTACCTATTCCAGCCTTGATTTGTCAAGCGTTTTTGTGTCAGGCTCATAGTTCCCTGCAAGAACCTCCGCCAAGAACATATCGACTCACCATCACTGGCGTTTAGCCAAACCCATTATTAAACGCGGAGACTCGAGCGGTCGCCAGCGAGAAGACCGTCAGAGACAAAATGAAGGCGGCAAAGGGCTTCATGGGAGGAATTCTAAAGAAACGCTTGCGCATCACGCGGCAAGCAGGCAGGTGGTATGGTTGGTGATTCGCAGGAGACGGTACCAATCCAGCCCCATGCTACAAAATAGCTCCTCCATATATCTGCTTTTTTCATTCCCATGAGCTTTTCGTTACGCAACGAGCCTCCCTCCTGTTGAATCTTCTCGGCATCGTGGGGTGCCCTCGTGCAGAAAGCGAGCAAGTCAGCAAGGACAGGTGCTTGAACTGGGTCATTAGATTTAGAGTACATAGGAGTCCCGGCCTCCTGAATCCTCGAGCTTGCTGACCTGGTCTGACGAAGCAACGAGATATGGTCGGCTCTAGAGTGTGGAGTAGAGATGAACGGCGGAAACATATTGAGCGCTGGAAACCCGACAATGCTGACACCCCAGGCTCTACGATGCTACATCCATGCCGGAGCAGGCCAGTGTACCAGGCCTTACTTCCATGATATCGCGTCGCGTCAACAGATGAGCGTCTCGTCAATGGGTGAACGTCAGTGCGCACACAGAAATATAACCTTTAGGTAGACTTGTGCGAGGAAAGGGAGTCCCCCTGTCCGTGAAGAGCGCGGGGCAATGGATAGTTTGCCTAAAGCCTGAGGGTCGATATCAAAGACTCATAATTAGTACTGTGATAACCCTTGCGGCCTCCGACGCGGCGCACGGTTTAAATGCGCCTGGCGCATACCCATGGATCTCTGGCGCCAAGCCTTGTTGGACCATCCTTAAATAATCACCATTCTCTTCGCCAATCTTGCTCCAATGTGCAACCATCGACCGTGGTGCCGTCTTCCATTCGATATTCCATCGTCCACTCCATATATCTTTTTTTTTTGCCTCTGGTGCACTGAATACTCAATTACTGAGGCAGTGAAGAGAGATTTGTGAAGGACGCAAGGGTTCACGTGCCCATGCATCCAGCCCTGCCACGGCATGGGCTCATTATCAGTGCATCAACCAGCGCCACCGCCCCGTTTATCACCATAAGCGACTATGCTATATGCACCGGGACGCTCCTCGGACTTCTAAGAATCTAGCCATTATCTCTGCCTTCTTAGAATGCCACTGCAACTCTGTGGATTGGTCTACTGTGAGCACCAACGGCCCCAATAAGGGATGGCGCGTTCAATGGGCCAAGATCAACAGACCCAACATCATTTGCATTTTCAGCCTATTATTACATAGGCCACCGAAACTGAATAGCAAGCTGTCTTTGTGGGAGGCGGGTATGCTTCTTGTGGGTAGGTACATATGTATGTATATTTCAAAATGTACTCTGCCTTTGGTCCTTGGGATGCGAAGACAGCAGCGTTGTCAGGGCCGCACGGCGAAGCAGCCCCTGATATCTGCTGATATTCGTTCGCAAAAAAATTCACAGATCAGACACAGATCACAGATATCCTCTTATTAACCTTGTTAATTTGCTTCACGTCTTGCACCATTCTAAGCGACGAGAAGACATCACATTTAATTACAAGATGCGCCCTGTGGGTTCTTGCCACGTATCTTGGCTAGCGGCCAGCTCTTCTCACATCCCTGCTATTTCATTACTCTTCCTCCGATTCATCGTCCCCTCATCCCGCTGATGACCTATGAAAGTGATCCGTTTGCTATGCTTATTGCTTCCGGCGAAGAACTGCGACGTGCACTCAGCAAGATAGGCAGGAAAACATTGTTCATAGTTCGGACGTGCGCGGATAATTTTCATCACATACCCCGCATACTCGCGATTGTGAACCTCGCTTCTTCGCCTGGACTACCCAGCATCGATTTTTGGTGACACGCTGTGAAGTCCGAATCGGTGGCCTGGCGTGAAAACGATTGTGTTGGCAACGCTGACCTCACATCCCTTCAAAGGCTCTTTCTGCCAGCTACCTGCCGTTGCTGATCCCTCTTTCCATCAAATCGCGTCTAGTGTTCACCGTCCGTGCACCATGGTTCTTCCATCTATTCTGACGGTTCCCACCATCCTCCTGTCAGCCGCAGGACTGACACTGTGGGTGACGTGGAGTTCTCCGGACGCTCCCTTCAGCGCTCCAAAGTTTCACGAATCGTCCCATCATTACTCTGACGTCGCTGAGCGATCTCTGCGCCTGCAGCGGCCGCAGATGCGCATGTATGAAGCGGAAGACGTGATGCCGCAGCCAGCCCTGCCAAAGGGAAGATCCAGAAGATGTGTACCAAAGGTGAGCACGATGCATGCTTTACCATGGCGCTGATCCACGCTCTGTCATCAGGGCTACTACGGTGACTGATCCATTTATGCCAAGGCGGACTTCCCCATGGACGTGCCTACTACCGATTTGAACCATCTTACATTCTTGTTCGCGGACGTCAAGCCCACCGGAGATGTTTTTCTCACCGACTTGTGGGTCGAGTGAGAATGAGCTGCACGAACACAACGAAGCCCAGTTCCCTCGCTGACCAGAGCTTCGCCTCTTCTTTGCCTCCTCCTCGATTGGATGTCCACACCGAGTAGATTCACTATAATTAGCCCGGCCTCGCGGAAACGGACTTCTGGAAGGACCGAGCGGGCATGAACAATCTCTACGGCAGCCTGAAGTGCTTTGGCTTGATGAAGCTGCTGAACCGCTCTTTCAAGCTGCCGGTATCGATTTAAGGGTGGACGTACATCCCCCACTTCTGGCCTATGACGATGAGCATTGATCGGCGCAGGCTGTTTATACGCACGACCGTGCAGCTGCTCGAGGACCACGGCTTTGGCGGTGCTGACATTGACGGGGAGTTCTCCGCGGACGCCAAGCGGACGACAGCGATGACGAACTTGCTCAAGGTGCTCGTGGCCCTGAATGCGGCGCAAGCCAAGCGGACGACTACGACCAAGCCAAAGTTCCTGCTTACCGTTGCCGTGTCTGCGAGTCGGACGCACATCTCGACGATGAACCTGGCCGGCATGGACCAGTGGCTAGACTCCTGAAACATCATGGCATGCAACTTTGCAGGCTCGTGACCCAGCACGGTGGAGCACCAGGCAAACCTGTACAATGCCACCAACACGTCGCCGGCGTCGGAAGCGAAGGGCTCGGGCTCGGGCGAGATGCAGGCGCGCATGAAGGCTGGCATCGCGGCGCACAAACTCGTCCTTGGCCTGCTGCTCTACGGGTGCTCATTCGTTAATACGGCCAGCTTGGCAAATCGTTCCAGGGCGTCGGCGCCGGCGGCGATGGGTACTGGGAACTGAAGGCGCTGCCGCTGTCTGCCAGCCAACATCACAGAGGACATGTACGATGGCGCTTCGTACTCGCACTACAAGACGCAACCCATCCCTCGTCTCGTATGATATGCCCGCCGTTTTTGACTTTAAAGGCCAATTACATCAACAGCACCGGTCTTGCGGGCGCCATGTACTGGGAGATTGCTGGCGATTACTGAACCACGTCCAAACCTGGCTCGATGATCAGCCGCGTGGCTTGGCAAGGCGAGTGGCTCGCAGCTACCCCTTCCCCACGGCAACCTGCGCGACTGCGATTGTTGGAGACTAATTCAAAACATGTACATGCCCTGCTGGTAATTCCAGCTCGGCAAGCTCGACGCGACCAAGAACTACATCAGCTACCCCTTCAAGTTTGACAATGCCCGCAACGGCTTCAATTGAATTGCTAGCCCCAGGCCGCTGCACCCACGATAGCAAGACTCGACCTGTCCGACCGTGAGGTGACGATTCCCCAATCCCGACACGTCGTGCTCGAAACGAGCAAGGGATACATTCTTTGATGTGTATACTGCGGTTTTCTTCATTATAATGTTACATGCGAGGGACGCAGTTGCGGACAACCTTTTGAACATGCTTGCGACCTTCACATCTTTCGGGTTCGAAGCGTAGATTTATTTACGATTTTTATGGTGGGTTAGGCTTTGCCTTCAAGTGTTCCGCGCTTGTGTGGTGCTGGAGCAGCCTTCTCGCCGCCACGTGCGAGATTCTGCAAACGTCGTTTCTGTTGGCTGGCTGCTACGGTGCCGCTGGCGTCTGCCCCACTCCAGAGGGTAGGCACTCTCGGCTCGCGCTGTGGGCCACTTGCAAATTTGCAGCCTCTGGGTCTCGATCACATCCCATTCTTGCCGCTGCGCGCCGGGACGAGAGCATGGCCAGTGAGGAGTCCAGGCCTGTGCGCCGTGCGGTTCCGCCCCTGCGGTCCTGTGCACCAGCTGGTGGCGCACAACCCCAGTCAACACACAGTCGAGTTTCTCGCTCGCGCCGAATGGATATATTTTGGGGACGAGGCTGTGGGCAGTTTGCGAGCAAAAGAAAGGAGGCGGGGAAGCCGAGTGTGTCAAGATGGTGGCCAGGCGCAAGAGGAAGGGAAGGAAGGATGGGACCTGCACGGAAAGAGAGAGAAAAAAAGGAGGAAAAACACATGAAAGGACTCTAAAAGTTCAGAGGCTGGAAGGTGGCGACAAAGAAAAGAAAACGGTCACTGCAGCGCTTGTTTTGGACGTGTGGCTCGTCGTGCTGTCTCTCCCGTTTGTAATTTGGTTGGAACACGCTTCAAAGCGAGGAGAGGAATAATGATCCGACGAGTGCAAGACGGCAGGTCTGGGAGAGAGTAGATTTATTGCTTTTGCTGGACGTGTGCACGTCAACTGCTGCAGTCTGCTGTCGCGCTCCGGGATTCACGTTGGACAGGCCTACGTTTCCTTTCCTCCTGCCACTGCCAACTGGTCTGCGTCAAAAAGCACCGTGATTTTTCTAACCCAGCAGCCATATCTGCTCGTGTCACTCCTTCCTTACAAGAGCTACTCTCTTGGCCGGCACGTCTCTCCTACACCTAGCCCCTTGAGAGGTCCAAGCGCAGGAATCGCATCAAGACCCACCCCGTTTCGTGACTAGCACCTTAGACCACCATGGCGTCGCCAAACGTGACGACGGCGTCGCTTCGCAAGTCCGCCACGCAGGCCGCTGCCACGCAGGCCGCTGCCACGCAGGCATCAGGGCCCGCCGCCGGCTCCGCCACTGCGAACCCGACGCCCACTAAATACTCGCACAGGCAGGCCAAGGCATACAAGCCGTCTGAGCTGCCGCAGTACACGGTGCCCAACTTCACCATCAAGGACTTGCTCTCCGCCATTCCCGCACACTGCTTTGAGCGCTCGGCGCTGCACTCCTTCGCTTACGTCTTTGCCGACCTGGCGATGGTCGCTGCGCTGGCATATGCCGCCACTTTTATTGACCCGCTCGTTTCAAGTGTCGACTTCAGCCGCCAGTCGCCCCTACCGGCGAGCGTCCTGTCGGCCGCCGCTCAACAAACGGCTGCACGCTGGTCTCTCTGGGGCCTGTACACCTTCTTCCAAGGCTGCGTCTTCACCGGCCTGTGGGTCATCGCACACGAGTGCGGCCACCAGGCATTCTCCACGTCCAAGTCACTCAACAACGCCGTCGGCTGGGTCCTCCACTCTGCTCTCCTCGTGCCGTACCACTCCTGGCGCATCAGCCATGCCCGCCACCACGCCGCCACGGGCCACCTGACGCGCGACGAAGTCTTTGTACCACGCACCCGTGCGCAGAAGGGCCTCCTTCCGCTCAAGCGGGCTGAACAGCAACTCCAGGACGACGGTTCGGACGTTGAGGCTGAAGAGGGGCAGGTGCTCAACGCCGTCGCGCCTGCTGCGAAGCACGAGAGCGTCACCGTTGCGCCAGAGTACCAGAATGAGCACGAGAAGGAGTCCTTTGGCGAGTGGCTCGCCGAGGTGCTCGAGGACGCACCTGCATACAACCTTGTCATGCTCGTTCTGCAGCAGCTGTTCGGCTGGCCGATGTACCTCATCAAGAACACCTCCGGCCAGCTCCACTACCCTAAGGGCACCAATCGTGAGCAGCATTTATCCGATCATCCGAAATATACACGAATGCGCATGCTAACTTTGCTCTGCTGACAAACACAGACTTCCAGCCGGAGTCGGTCATCTTTGACGCACGCCACCGCATGCAGATCATCGCCTCGGACATTGGCCTGGCTATCACACTGTCTGCGTTGTGCGTGTGGGGCACCCACCTGTCGCCGAACGGCTTTGTCGACGTCGCACGCTACTACTTGGTCCCGTACCTGTGGTGCAACCACTGGCTGGTGATGATTACATGCCTGCAACACACGGACGTCGCGCTGCCGCACTACCAGGCGTCTGAGTGGACCTTCCCGCGGGGCGCGTTGTGCACCATCGACCGCAGCTGGCTGTGGCCCATCGGCCCGTACCTGCTCCACGGCATCGCCGAGACGCACGTCTGCCACCACATCTCCTCCAAGATCCCGCACTACCACGCGTGGGAGGCGACCGAGGCGCTCAAGCAGCGCCTCGGCGAGCACTACAAGGCAACGACCGAGAACGTCTTTGTTAGCCTCTGGAGGAACTCGCGCGCGTGCAAGTTCGTCGATGAGAACGACAAGATCGCCTTCTACCGCAACGCCCACGGCGTCCCCTCCGCCATCGTTAAGAACAGGAAGGCGGATGAGAACTCGGATTCCGGCCTTGCGCTCTCCGATTAGACGGGACGCGAGCTGTGCGACTGGCTGTGCCTGTGCCTGCTCCACTTTCCCTCCCTTTCAAGCCCGCTGCCCAACAATCAACGAAATGACCAAGCACTTTAGCATCGCAACTTCCCTGCGGCTCATCTCTTGCCTTCGCCTTCGTTTCCCTTTTCCATTTCTTATACTGTAGATCGTGCGATTTGGGCTGCTGGTTGTTTCAGTGGTTCCTTCCAAAGAGAACGTCACCTCAAAAGCGTCCTCCTAGCTAACAATTGCGATGGAGGATGATAGAAATGTAAGAAGACAGCCACCAACGACAGCAGAATAGAGCATTCATAATCGCTCGACAAATCTAGAAACGCGCACTGTCCGCTACACATGGCGCCGGTTCCAGCGGTACTTGGATGTATGGCACATGGTTCGTGACAATTGCATGTGTGCCATGTGGAGTAGCGTTGCCTTTGATGAATAGAGTATAGTACAAAAGCGCGCTTTTAAAGTCCCGCGTGCGTTGCCCCTGGCAAGCCGACGAGGGGAAGAATACAGTGAAGGGTAAGGGGGCCGTAGGAAAGCCAAGAAACATGACGTTTGTTGCTGCGATGATGATGGCGATTTACGATTTAGGAAGAAAGCCAAAAAAAAGAAGCGAAGATGCCGGTAAGATGGTTGAGAAAGTTCGATTGAAGGCGTGAAAGGAGATGGAGCCCTAACGTTGTTCACCCCTTACAAGCCGGGGGCATAGACGTATTTCTGAACCCAGACCTGTCCGTAACCAGATGTGATGTGACCAGAAGTGGGTTGATGTGCATGACGATCCCCGATGCGTATCTTATCTTTAACTATCCGGTCGAATGGGTAGTCGATCCGTGCCACATTTTGAGAATCGATACCGTGTCGTTAGCACCCAACAAGTCGGGCAGGCGGCCTGCCTGCCTGCCTGCAAAGTACAAGTCTGCGTACTCGCGTGCTGGTGCCTAGCGGAGCGCAGCAGCACTCGTGAGCGTGCGTTCTGTTGTACAAACACCCGTCGTCTGGGCTGATCCAGACTTGGCTTAGTCATCGAGGTAGGCCAGGCCGCCACCGTCGCTGCTGGTTGTGATGGAAGAGTACCGGTCCTGCTGGTACCTCTG